GGAGGGGGGGCGGGTCCTCGTCACCACTGTGGAAGTTCTTGAAGAACTGGGGAGGCTGGGTGACAGGGACACTGGAACTCGGGGTACTTTTTGCAACTTTTCTGTAAACTGGAAGTTTTTTTAAGTAAAAGTTTTCAAAGACACGAAGGCGGGCTGGAAGGACGGGTGCTTCAGTGCCCGAGTTTTGTCCCGAGTTCGGCAGGAGCCGAGACGAGGTCTGACGGGGTCTCGGGGACCTCACCTTGGAAGTCGAAGTGAGGGAGCAGCGCCTTCCTCTGGGCGTGCCCGGCCCTCTGGCGCTTGTGCCCTGCAGGGTGGGCGTCCAGTCGATCCCGTCTCGGCACTGCCACAGCCCTGGCACTGTCTCTCCTGGGCGTGTTCCCACGTGGGGTCTCACACGGTGGCTGAGGCTGGTTGTGGGAAGGGACGGCCGGTTCCCCGTCCCGTCCAAGGTACAGGTCCCAGCGACAGGACTGCTGCTCCCATGTCACAGCCCCTCCCCCTCCGCTCAGCACTGAGACACCCTCTCCCTGCTCACCCTCTTCCCACCCTTCCCTGCAGTTCCAGACAGAGCTGCGGAAGATCCTGCTGTCCCTCATCGAGGTGGCGCAGAAGCTGCTGGCGCTGAGCCCCGGTGCCGTGGAGCTATTTACAAAGGCCAACGGTGCGTGCGAGCGGGTGGCGTGTCCCCACGTCCGGGCGTCTGCTCCCCACAGCCTGAAGCTGAAGCTGCCGGGCTGCTGTCTGTGCTCAGTAGACGTGGGCGGGGAACTCTCACCCACCTTCCTGCTCCCACGAGAGAGCTGACGGGGCGCCTCAGGTGACCCAAGGCCCAGCAGAGTCACCACCAACCCCTGGGGCTCAGACGAGGCCCTAGAGCTCCAGGGGGTGCCTGGGAAGCACCCCTCGTGGGCGGCCCTGCTAGGGCCCCTCACCGGCCACATGTCGCCCACAGCGATGCTGGATGAGGACGAGGAGGAGCGGGTGGACGAGACGGCCCTGCGGCAGCTCACGGAGATGGGCTTCCCCGAGAGCAGGGCCGTGAAGGCGCTTCGGCTGAACCAGTACGTGGGGCCCGCCCGGGGCTGGTCGAGGGTCTGCCCTGCGGTGACTCCCTGTCCCGCACGCCCTGAGTCGGGTCCCGTGTGTGAGTTAATTCAAAGTGGTGCATTAACGCCTGCCCCGCAGTCACTGGCCTGGCACCACGTGTGCGGGTCAGAACTCGCTCGGTCTGGGGAGACAGCCTTGCTTCGTGCGTGGGGTCGGGGGCGCCCCAGGGGGAGGCCGTGTGGTCGCTAACAGTCCTCAGTCCCCTCTCTGGTTACGTGTCCTCGTGGATGTCAGAGCTGGACGGTCCGTCAGCCAGAGGACGGCCGTGGCCACGTTCCTCTTCCCTGGTCCTGAGCCCTCGGGCTCCTGTTGCTCACAAAGTGGGTTCTGTGGCCGCGCCCCCACTGGCCTGAGTGGAGGTCCTCACCGCAGGGGGTCGGCAGCGCCTGCTCGAGGCCTCCCCTGTTGCAGGGCTTTTCCTGGCGGGAGGGAAAGGGCCTCGGGACCCCTGGACGTGTCGGAAAGGCTTCTTACCTTTCAGCATGTCGGTTCCCCAAGCCATGGAGTGGCTGATTGAGCACGCGGACGACCCCGCCATAGACACGCCGCTTCCAGGCCACACCTCGCCGGGTACCATGGGGGCTGAGGCTTCGGCCGAGGCTGCTGCCGGCTCCAGCGAGGACGAGGAGGAGGCCAGAGACGAGCTCACGGAAATTTTCAAGAAGATCCGAAGGAAAAGGGCATTTCGGGCTGACGCTCGGGTACGTGTCCTGCGGGGAGACCCGCTGCTGTCCCCTTGTGGGGCTTTGCCTGGGCCACGCGCTGAGCCGAGCTGCCAGCCCTGGGGCCGCCCTCAGTCCTCACTGGGCCCCGGAGGCCGTTTCCT